TTTTTTTTGCAAGTGAACGAAACAAAGTGATTAGATCTCAGTCCCACAGGGTCACAAAGTCTGATTTTCTGATCCAGTGTGCGTACAGAGTCAGACACGAGTTTGTGGATGTTGCTCTAAGCCACCAGCATCTGGCCTATTGTCTGCTTCCACGGCTGGCTGCCTGATTAGCTGCTACAGTATTGCAAAGCTAGGCAGAGAGAATTAGCTGTATGTGTGTACGCGTATGCTATGCACGTGTGTGCAAGAACGAGCAAGAGAGCATCTGAGTGATTGTAAGTGCGAGTGAATGAACGTGCTTGCCGTAAGAGAATTTGTGTGTGTGTGTGTTCTTCCACTGTGCGTTTATGAGTGTGCGTAGGTGGGTGTAGAAAATCAAGTTCTCTGGAGTCTGCAGCTAAAATTATAAAAAATTACACAATGCATCACAGATGGCAAGCTCTGTGTGTGAATAACACACACACACACACACACACACACACACACACACACACACACACACTGAAGTGTGCGTTTTTTATATACTGTGTTCTTTTTACCTTCAAGGAACCCAAAACACACACTGAACAAAATCACTTTTCTGAAATCTCCTGGCTTCCTGTAGTTTGAAGAATACAGGAGCGGCGTAGTATGAGGCAGGTCGCCGGTGTCAACATTTCACAGTAGCTAACACACTGTGTGACTGATGCAATCAGCTTGATGTCAAAGCCGCTGCCACGTGGCTGACATGACACTCAGCTGGATAAAGCGAACACAGTGAGGTCCAGACTCCCGCAGGAGGAAATATGTTGTAAGGGACCCTTCCTATCAGTGCTAGCGGTCAAAGGTTGGAGATGGAACATAGCAGAGTTGCCCGAATTCATTTCCTGGAGACTTTTTTTTCTCCGCTGTGTATCACTGTTGGTAAATGCTGCATTGCTCTGTAACACCACAAACAGTAAAGTGCCAGGTAAAGAGAGCTGAAAGAAATCCGCTGCTACAGTTCTGTTCACGCTGCTATGAATGACTGCTGTTAAAACATGAGACCTACTGAATGTTTCTTTAATGAATTAAATGATGTATTTGCAAGTTCAACATTGAAACTGGCCGCGTGGTTACAATCATGATCATGGAAATAACACATTTTATCTGTTTAAGCTCATTTTAAAGGTCGTTGCATTATGTTCGATTATTTCTGATTACATATCAACACAAACCTTTTGTGAGAAACGTGAACTCTTCAATAACTCCTTTTTGTTCATAATTACACCGTGCTACTTCGTGGGTCTTGTTACCGTTAATTTTTAGAGCACCAATTTGTGTTAATTCTGCAGTTAGTGAATGAACCTAGATATGCAGCTTTTAGAGGGTTTGTGGCAATTGCTGTTTGTAACCATGTAAAATACATCTAAGCAGTTATGTAACATTAAAAAAAGAAGAAGGTTAGACCAATATACAGTATTTAAAAAATGTATTACACCTGTCATAAAAACAAGAAAAAGAAAGCATTTCATATCTTTCAAAAAACATATTTAAATCAAAAAATTATTGAATTCATGGAACTAAAATGTTTTTTACGCCCCAATTTGAACCAACACACGGGACTTTCAAGCATTAAAACTAATTTTAATTAAACAACTGTAATTTAAAAAAAATAGTGCTTAACTATTATTTTTGCTTTTTTTTGTAAAAGAGCAACTTTGAATATTCATGTATAAAAACAATACTTAATTTTGCATTAAAAATATGTTAATTAAAAAGCTTGAGGATTCTCTTGAATTCATCATTACAGACACATAAAATGTATTTAATCAATGCTTAGGAAGCTGTGGCATAAACCTTATGTTGGATGATGGTCTAAAAGATTTGCACTCTACAGCATAGATAGCCACTATTAATTTATAAGATTGTGCCAGTAGAGTGCGAACTGGGTTGTTCGTTCCAGAGACAATAAGCCACTGCTGCAAACACATTGAAAGCAAAATACATTCTTTTTTTGTAATATAATCTGTGACGCTAACACAAAGCTAGCA